GGCTTGTGAACCTGGAGAACCACAGGCTGGTTCTCCCCAGCCAGCTCCTGCCTCCCCATTCTTCATGCCGGTGTAGCCACCTGCTCTCCTTCCGCAGCTGAGGTGGTTTGTGGGCAGGCAGGGAAGTGGCATCCCCTTTCAAGGGCCTTTGAGAGAGTTACACCTTCTAGAATTTGATCCTGTAGACATCTCATAGTAGAACTGGGAGCAAAAAAGCAATAGACGTTGGCCACTGTCACCTAGGCAGAAGGCATGTGGGGACCAGAAAGAGCAGAAAATGACCTTTCCGTTGGGGAACTTTGGGCTGGGTCTGAAACTGCTCATGACCTGCCAGGAGCACGAAGGAAGCTGTGCAGACAGAGCCTGCATCAGGTCACATCTGACTTGGGGCTTCCCTAGCAATGGCTTTGAAGAAATATGGCTTATGCTGCAGAGGACTAAAACCCAAGTTTAAAAGACCAGTTCTTTTATTTTCCAGTTAGATTTTTTTCCAATGATTTTTCATATACTACCCTAAAGTCTGATTTCATGGTCAACTAGTTGGTGGGTCATACTTGAAAACACGATTCTGTTGACTGGTGTTGTGGGAGCTGTGGCACTTCTTTCTAAATTAGCACTGTCCATTTACCTAATGCCACATTGTATTGTATTTTCTGATTAAGTTGCCAACTAATTGTAGCATTCTTGACATAGAGTGGGGTAGGCACGTGGGGAATCTTTCTGGTCTATCGGACCAGAGCCCCTCTTCGACAATAGAAGACTGCTGGCTGGATTCACTGTGGGCTCAGTCCTAGGCCTGCTGCTGGCCCAAGAGGCCTGTTTTCTTCACCGTGTCTTATCAAGGACGTGCTGAGTGTCCTGCTGCCCTTTCCTCCTGCTGAGTCTGTCGTTGGTTTACTTTCTGGGAACGGCTCCTGCCATCTTAAACTTACCCTCTTCCTGTACCTTCCTGACCTCTCACTTTCCCAAGTCCCCCCTCCTTTGCCCTGATGCTTCGGCTTTTCGTTTGCATGAACTAAGTGTTTATGGAGTCAAACAGAATCACAGCTGCCTGATATTAGCGTAACTTGTAAAAACAGGACCTAGAAAGATGAGGACAACCAAGTGGAGAAAGAGAAGGTGGTGTTTTGGTAGTGAAAGACTCAGTATTGCCAAAGAAGCAGTATCTGTACAAAACAGTTTTCTGAAACGCTGGCAAGTCCATTTTTGGTCTTAGCTGTGACCTGAGCTGAAAGGAGGCGCAGCAGCCTCAATGCCTTATTCTCTGAGCTTCTATTGAACATGGGTCTAACATATTTGCCTTGTATCTGCACATTTTGAGTGCAGCCCTATATGCTAGGCCTAGCATATAGCGTGTAAGAAGTGCCCATACATGTATATATTTTTTTATTGTATTAATATTCTGCTGCTGTGTAATAGAGTGCTACACACTTTGAAACAGCATGTGTATCATCCTGCAGTTCCTGTGGCTCGCAAGTCTGGACACCACACTGAAGGTCCTTTGCTCAGGGTCTCTCATAGCTGAAATCAAAGGGTTGCAGGTTGTGACCTCATCTGGAGTACTTGCAAGATCATTCAGGTCATGGCAGAGTTCAGTTCCTTGTTGGGCTACGGGCCTGGCTTCCTGGCTGACCTCTGGTGGTGGCACCAGACTCCTGGCCTTCTCCCTCAGTCCTCTCTGCCTGGCCTTTTACAACACGGCAGCTAGTCCCTCAAAGTCCCCATCTGCTGTGGCAGTCATGTATAACATGCCACTTACGTTCCAAATCATAAAGTGACCATTCATTGTAGTCACAGGACCCCACACACCCAAGGGAGGGGCATGCAGGCTATACCCATATGTGTACTCATATGGAAAACATATGAATGTCACAGCTACTGTGGACTTGGGGTAGCATTGAAGCAGAGGAGAAACTGCAGGGCTCAGATACTGATGTAGCAGGAAAATGATCTCTGATGCACCTCCTTCTGCCATCTCCCGCCTTTCAAATGTCCATCTTGGAGCCATCTTGGACTCCTGCTCTCCGCATTATCCCATTTATCACATCTAATGTGATGGCTAAGCACTATTTCTTTGCAAATTCTTGATAGGAAACAGTCCCAATTTAAAGAGAAATCATCTGAACTCTACCACACTATGGAGCTTATAAGCAAGGAGTCCTTGTCTCCCTTGAGTTTACCCCTCCTTCCATGCACATGTGCACACCTATGTGCACATCTGTGTGGTGGGTACACACATACACACTTTGCTTACCCAGGACTATTGAGATTCTTAAGCGATGGATACTGAGGAGCTCTGGTTGCGTGAGCAGGCAGTACTGTTGGTGCAGTGGTGGGGCTCTTGCCTGTCCAGGGCCTAGATTCCCTGAGGTTCCACACTTCTCCCCACAGCAAGGGGGGTGGTCATTGAGGCGTCTCCCACCTACTATGTACTTAACTGTTCTCTGCATGTAGTCACATTGCCTGTGGGGCTGAGTGAGTGTTTGGCCCCAGCACTGGGGAGGAACACTGCCCCCCCCCAGGGGGGCTGCATGCAGGTCCAGGGCACTCCCGGCCAGATGTCTCATCAGTCATCCTGAACACCCTGTTTAAAATTGTATTATCCTCCCCATCCCTCGGATTTCAAATGCTGTTTTATTTCTCACCATAGTGGAGCCTGTTCCTTTGAACTTAGTTCATAGTTTTCTTGCTTATTGTTTGTCTCCCTCTTTTAGAAAGAAAGTCCCTCCATGCCAGGGTCTCCTGAGTCTGATCGCTGTCCCCAGGACACTGTAGAGCTGAGTACCCAGTAGTGCTTCAATGACTATGAATGTCTTAGATGTGTGGGTTCTGAGAACCAGCAGCATTTTTAGGAGAACATTTTGGGGATTCTGTTAGGCATTGGTTAGTTGAAGCAAGTGAAACAAGTTGGTTTATGTCACTAATCTGGGAGCCTTTCATTAAAATCATAGCAATTTGGGGCATAAAGTAAAAGTCCATGTTCCTCAGCCATGGGAGGATGGGATAGCGTGTGTGTGTGTGTGTGTGTGTGTGTGTGTGTGTGTGAGAGAGAGAGAGAGAGAGAGAGAGAGAGAGTTGGGGTGCGTATTGCCCAGCTGTTTGTTGTCCTTGAAATGATATGGGATTCAGCAACGGTTGGGTACTGATTTCAAGAGATAGAAGCGGGCCTCAGGGCCTCAGGATATGTTGCAGACCTCAGATCATCAGATCATCCTGTCTGTTGCACACCATCTGAATATTTAACTCTATTTCAACATATTAACTCATAATTCTCTGTCTTAACTAGTTTTTTCTGGGTAGTTAATTTCTTCAGACCAGTTTGTATTGGAATTATCTTTAAGTTCAATGTCCACTATCTTGGATCAAATTGTGTATTTCTCCCAACTAATTTTTAAGTTGTGTTATTTGAATGTGGGTTTTTCTTAGTTGTAACTGTATGTTGAAAAAGAAGGAATATGAAAAGGGAAACAAAGAACAAGAGGTACACATGAAAAACATGAATTTCATGTCCACTGAGGATTTGGGGGCAGTGTGAAAGCAGAGAAGAAACTGCAGGGCTCAAATACTTACTGTTTTAGAAGAAAAATGATCGCTGATGTGTTTCCTGATGCCTTTCCCCTTTAAAATGTCAGATTTTTTAGAGCATTAGGAATGGCAGTTTATACTCTGAAAATATGTTCTGGGTTTGTATCAGAGTGGAAGTTCAGTGCTTCCTATCCAGTAAAGCCAGATTCCTGGAGCTTCAGAGTTTCTGGGGCCAACAGATGGTGAAGGCTTATCCTTCACAGTCATTTCTTACAGTCTCTTTTCCCACCAGGCCAGATGACAGGAAGGTGTATGTCTGGGTTTTTGCTGCTTGCAAATTATCAGCCTTTCCCCAGTTCTTGAATTTTAAGAAGCTTTTCCTGTCTGGGGACTTTGGGTACTTTGAGTAGCACCAGGTTGGCTGTTGGCCATATGGTTTAGGCCGGACACCCGCTGCCTCAAGTTCCTGTTTGGAGAGTGGATCCTGAAGTACTTGTATATTGTTTAATTTCATCATGTTAAAATTCTGTCTACCCATTTTGAGGTGACCTAACCTTTTTTTTTTTTTTTTTTTTTTAAGAAGAGAACTGTCTAGAACCTAGAGCCCATTTATGTGGCCTTTTATTATGAAGAAATATTCAGCACACTCCCCACTGCTCTCTCCTGGGCTTCTTTTGCTCAGTGCAAGCTTCTTTGTGATCACCAGTGTGCAGGACCAAAGGGCTGGTGTTGTCACAGAGTGTTCTCTTTTTCCAAATAAGGAGAGTTGTGGTGCTGGGGCAGGGCAGATCTGAGATTCTTGGGGCCTCCACTGCCTCCCTCCTCCATGAGGGCTGTTATTGGAATGCCACTGAGTGTGCTCACTGGAGCCTGTGTCCTGTGCTGCTCAGGTCTCAGGTCTCAGACCTCAGACATTAGGGAAACAGAGAGAATAACGTTCACAGAGAGAACAATATTGTCCTTTATATAAGGCTGATGGCCTTACATCTGAAAACAGATTTGAAGGGGGCCTGCCCATGGGTAAGCAGACTTTCAGAGCCATAATAACTTGCCAGAAGCCCTACAGCTAGCAAATTCAGGAGCAGGGTTAAGCCTTTTAATTTGTCTGACTCCATGACCCTTGCTTTTACCCGCCCTGGCATCACAGTGTTTCTCTGGACTGTTGGGCTGGACCTGAGGAGGTTGACAGCACGCCAGTCTGTTTTCACGCTTCCTTCTGCTTGCGGGACCAGCAGACTTTGGGCAGGCCTCCATCCCAGACAGAAACTGATGTGATTAGGCGCATGGAACAGGCAGCGACATTTGACTTGAATTTCTCCCACCATGTCCACCTTAGCACCTGCCCTGTGGGCCACCAGACCCCAAAATGGTTCACTTTGCTAGTTTCTGTTCTATGCACTGAACTCTGCCTGGACCTCATTGCAGGACTTCCTTCCACTCTGGGCACTGACCAGCTTATGCCCCTCTCTCTGCAGATGCCGCCCCTATGAGGATTGCTGTGGCTCCCGGTGCTGCGTGCGGGCACTCTCCATACAGCGGCTCTGGTATTTTTGGTAAGTCATAACTCTTCTGGCTTTGGGTGCTTTTCTTTTCTCTAACCTCACCCCCTCAAGGTTCTGCTCATGGTTAGTATTATCACCACCAGTGTTGCTTCACGTTAATCTGAGGGCATGGTTTCTGGGAGAACCTTTGTGAAGAAGGCAGGTTTGGCTTTGTGACAGCAGTTCTGCTCACCGTTTGCAGAAAGCCCATTCCTGTTACCAAGGGCAGTGGCTGGGGAAGAACTTTTTTTGGAAGGTAGGCTGGCCCTTTGGCAGCTCCTTTGCTGCTTTATGAAATGGAGCTTTTTGAAAGTCTGAGCATCAGAAAAGCTCATGGTAAGGTTTCTGCTGCCTGGAAGTCTTCTATAGACTCAAACTGCCCGCTGAATCCTGGCTTTCAAGACAGTCTGTATTCCTGTCCTTTTTCCAGTTGGAAGAGCTGTAAAGTCACACTGTAGACAATAAAGGGATATTCTAGAAGGTTGTAGCTGCATGTTTCCAGAAAGGGAAGGGGCTCCCCAGTGGATTACCATCCTCAGAGGTGCCATCTTGGCTGTTCATTGCTGACTCTGTAGATAAGATGCTTTGTTCATACGTCAAGGGAAAGCAGAGCTTTTGTGGGGAGGATTTGCCTAAAACCAAGTGTTGCTTGGCCCACCCAACTCCTCTTTTCAGCTACAGTGGAAGCGTGACTCCAAAAAGGGTTAAAACTCTACTAACTGTAAGACTTAAGCTTCTTTATGATTGAAACATTCTGACAATACTGACTTCTCAAGACCTTTATTGAGCATGTACCAGCAGCCATCTGGTACCCCCACCATGGTATGCTGCTGTCTGCTTCTTCCACCTCATGGTTACTAATACCTAAAACTCCATGATGATTGGTGATTTGTTTTTTTTTTCCTTTGCCTTAAGATTTTCTGAATGTGAACACTACAGTGTACATTTCCAGGTGAGGGGCTGCCACCAGCCAGGGAGAGGGGACCACGAGGGAGGCCTTTGGGACCTTTGCCTAGCTTCACACATGCTCTCACAAAGAATCTTCCTCTGGGAACTTGTAGAAGGAAATAGGAGCCCCAACAGGGTTCTCACGTATATCAGGTTGGTTTGAAACAGTTGAATGTTGATGAGGTTGCAGGGCTGCTCCTAAAATGAAAAACTTGTTGAAGTTCAGGTAGGATACAATTAAAGAGAAGAAAACATTGACAGTCTGGGCTGGTCAGGCAGCAGGGCACCTCGGCATTCCCTGAGCTGGCGGCCAGCTGTGGAGCTGCTGACCTGGGACTCCTGTAAGACAAGAGGCCCCAAAGGGTAGACTCTTAATGCACAGGTGACTTAGTGGGATCCCTGCAGAGATATCTCACACGGAGGGTGACTGCAGCTCTGGCTGTGTGACAAGGGCTTCGTGTGGTGGGAAGAGGGGCAGCTCTGCAGACTGGCTCCGTATGACTGCCAAGGACCCTTATCAAGAAGCAGTCATTTGGAGAATGCTTCCAGAAGTTCCAGCTAGCTTTAAAGTCTTGAGTAATCTTTACCCAGACAGTCTACAGGAAATCTCTGGGATTCACAAAAGGTGGTCAGGCAGATGTGGAAGGCCAGACTGGCTCTGAGCACCCTGGTCAGAGCTCCTGCTCCAAAGTCCAGGGAGGAATCTGCCCCCAGTGCTGCCCAGTGTGCAGACCTGCCATGTCCCCAGTACTTTGGGAGGACAGAGCGGGGCTGAAAAGAATTGAAGAAACTAGATTACCTCTGATGATAGAAGAGGCAGACTTCCTCTCTTAATCCCTGGAAGCCTCCGCCCCTACCCTATTTAGCAAGGAAAACTGGAGCTCCAGCTTTCCTTACTACAGTAGCCACCCCCATCCTGCTTCCTCTTTCATTAAACCCTAAGAGCAGATTCCCCTTCCCCATCATTGCTTTCTCAAAATGGCTTTCTTTTTTTAAATTGTTTTGGAATTTATTTTTGCACAGAAGAACTGAGGTATAGGCTAGAGGTGTGAGAGGATTCACCAGAGACAGAGTGGGAGCAAGACAGGCATGTTTACTGAAATACACTGCTTGGGGGGAGCAGCAAGCGAGGTGGGAGAAGTCTGCTGTGCCACGTGTGGGTTTGCTTTCTGGCTGGGGATCCAGCACAGGCTATCAAGGTGATAGTGCTGCGACTAAACCCCTCGTTTAGGCCCCAGGTAGGCCCCTCCAAATAAGTTCTTCCCTGACAAAAACTTCAGTGGAGAATGAGTCTGGTGCTGATTAACCCTAAACTAGCATTTTGGCTCCTGCCGTGACTTTGATCTGTCTCTGCTCTGCTCTCTGCAGGGAGTGAGGAGCTGTGTCATTTCTGTCCCATTTGACAGCATTGCCTCATGGTTTGTCCCACCAAGGGCCCCTGGGGGCTTCTGCATTTCCACTGTAGGGCTCCAGGCTCCTGGGAGGCACCTGTAGCCAGTGGAGGAGAAATCTTGGTGTGCTTTTTTGTCTCTCTGTTGCTTATATTTCTGCTCAGATGTTTATAGTTGGGCCCCGTGTTGAACATAAGATCAGCACAGAGTCCCCTGAGGGAAGTTAGTTTTTAAGAGATGAAGCTGTTGTTTGGTGGTTCCCACAGCTCACTGCCTGGCTGTAGCTAGCTCCTGTTCTCTTTCCACCTCCCCTCGCCCCTCCCCCGCAATCTGTCTTTCTTTCATCCTTCAGAACTCAGCTGAGATGTTGCACTGAGAGAAAGGACATTTCTCTGACCTCTCTCACTATGCCAGATAGCCTTGTTAAAATTTATTGTTGCACTGAATTGCACACTTAAAAATGGCAAACACAGAAAATCATGTATACTTAACTACATACATGTATTGCTCTATCCTTGTTTTCTTTCTCAGCACTTGTCAGAGTTGTGAATAGTACTTTTGTAAATGTGTAATTTATGGCTCCCTCCCTGGTTAGAATTCGCATTGAGTGTCAGGGAGTGACACTAACCTGTCTTTTTATAATGCGCCTCTGGGAGTGTAGCGGGTGCTGCTTGTTGAAGGGAGATGAATTGGAAGACAGACCCAAAAGCCATAGTTTCCCCTTCCCTGAATTATCTCCTGTCTTCTGCCTTTGCCCTTTCTTCCTGCTCAGTATTCCAAGGTTGTCCAGTAAATACTTAATGGCTGACTAGTGTTCTTACACTTGACATCACATTAATATTTTCAAAGATTTTATCACTTATGCTTTTCTTAAATTTCATTTACGTGTGGCCATATGCCTTTGACCATGAAGTGGCTGGCCCTGCTGTGTCCTCATCCTTCGCAGGGCAATTTGCTGCTTTCATAGACTGAGCATATTGTGTGAGGTTCTGGAACATTTCACCAGTGCCCTTGTAAATTCACTTTAGAGATGGGCAAGTGTTTCTAATTATATCTGTGCAGGGCAGACCACTTTCCTGCTCAGTCTGACTCCCCACATCTAGGTATTGTGCAGTGGTGGTGGGGGGTTGAGGGAGAAGTCTTGGGCTTAGTCATCAGTCTTTGATAACAATCGGTGTCGTGACAGTCACTGAGAATTCTGAGGTGAGTTGCACAAAGGTTCTGTCCATTTCCACTGCCCTTTAGACTTCAGAGTCACAGTAGGAAAATGTTCCTTCACACTTAGAGCCAAGAGATTTAAAAATTTTCAGCTTTTTTTTTAATTGATCACAATATCTTCTCTACCCTTGCAGTCTCTCTGTAACTAGGGTATCCAGGAAGTGCCAGGAGTGTGGCTCCAAACTTGTGCTCACACTGTGTTTTCCCTCAGGTTCCTCCTGATGATGGGTGTGCTCTTCTGCTGTGGAGCTGGTTTCTTCATTCGGAGGCGCATGTATCCCCCACCGCTGATCGAGGAGCCTGCATTCAATGTGTCCTATACCAGGCAACCCCCAAACCCCACTGCAGGTCAGCCAACCCCTGCATCCTTGTTTCCCCCTCCTGTTCACATGTCCTCTGCAAGCTTTTGAAAAGGGCACTGCCACAAAATAGGCTAGTGGAAACAATTGAGGCCATATTTATTCAGTTCCAATGATCAGCTTCATTGTGCCTTTATGCTGGTAAAAAGTGCCATAGATACTGAATTGAAGGGGTCTTTCTTCGTAGAGTCTTGCTTAGTTATTAGTAAGCTTTTTTTTTTTTAAGATTTATTTATGCATATAAGAACTGGGGTGGAGACCAGAGGTATGGGGTGGGGTGAAAGAAGATTCACTAGAGACATTGTGGGGAACAGAACAGAGAGACCGACAAAGTACACTGCTGAGGAGAGCAGCAGGGGAGCAGCAGGTGGGTCAGGAGAGGTCTGCCATGCCATGTGGGTCACCTCCCTGGTGGGGATTGAACTGGTGCTGCAGTAGCTTTGGAGAGCTTCATAATACGGTGCTTTAATCTGTTGCGCCACCAGGGAGGCCCCAGTTATTAGTAAACATTTTTTTTTTAAGATTTATTCATACAGAACTGGGGTACAGGCCAGAGATGCGGAGGGTGAGAAGATTCACCAGAGACAGAGTGGGGAGCAGAACAGGCAGATCAACGAAGTACACTGCTGAGGGGAGCAGCGGGCATGTCAGGAGAGGTCTGCTGCGCCATGTGGTCACCTCTGGGGCAGGTGGGAATCGAACTCATGCGAAAGTGGCTTAAGCTTCTTAGTGCTGCACTTTAACCCGCTGCGCCACCAAGGAGAGCCTTATTAGTAACTTTTTATGACGATTTATGCAGTTTGTATGTACATATTTTTTCTCTCTTTTTCTTTAAAAATTATCTCATGTAAATTTTTATATCGAGACAATAATGTCCCTGTCAACCTCAGTGCTTCTGGATTAATAAGCATTATGACTGAATGGTAATTTGCTTAAATGTTCTTTCATGGTTGATCATTTGTATTCTATTTTTTTTAAATTTATTCATCCCAGTACTTCTTACACTCCAAGTTTTCTGAATACTTGGAAATATCACTACTATGACCTTTTTCGTTTTAATAAGTTGCATCATTGGGTCTAAGGAACATTATCCAAAGTAATGTTCCAGAGTCAAAGACAATTAGTGGTTACTTAGTTAAAGTGATGTTTTTAAAGAATTATCTAAAATTCTTATGTACGTGTGGGTGAATTCAACCCTCCCCCGAGACATGGGCCAGTTTCTAGTTTTGACAGTATGTGTGAGAGGTTTCCCTTCCCTTCAAGGGAACTTTTGAGGACAGGAGCCCGGGACGCTGGGGGTGGTCAGCACTGCCTGTGGTAGCATCTGTGCCTGTTTTGCATCCATGGTGGAGAAGCTGGGCACCGTGCCTGCTGCAGCACAGCCATGGAGGCAGGAAGTGGGGTGGCTCTCGCGTTCTCCACACTGCAGGTGGACAGACAGTCAGAGCTCGAGGAGCTATTCCTTTGTTTTTACAGTGTCAGTTATACAAGATAAACAAGTCTTGGAGGCCTCCTATGCAGGCCTAGGATTAGCTCAATGGTACTATAGTGTATATGCCTTAAGAGGGTAGATCTTAAGTGCTTTTGTTATAATCATAGTATTAGGAGGCCACTGGGAAACTCAGGGGAGTGATGGGTATGTTTATAGCATAGGATGTGATGGTTTCCCAGTGTGTATTTATCTCCAAGCTCATTAAGTTATATACACTAAATATGTACATATTTGTGTGTTAATCTTACCTGAAAAATGGCTTAAAAAAATAAGAGTAAGAGGATTAAGTGTAAAAGGAGAAGCATTTTTCTCTCCTGTTCTTTTGAAGATATGTTCTCAGGATGTAGAGAGTGGAGCTATTTATTCATTGATTTGTTTCCTAGTTTTCTTCCACCAAATAAAAACCTTATAGGGTTTTCTTTTCTAAAAAGAACCATTTTTTAAAAATTTATGTTAAAATTTAAAAAAATTATCTTGTATTGAGGTAACGTCAGTTTACAACACTATTTGACTTAGGGGTGTAGACTCATGCACCAGATGGATGTTATACACCACCCCATCACAAAGTACCCTATCCTCATGGACTGTTGTGCCCCTTCACTTCACACCTCCCACCCCACTAGCCTCAGTTCTATAGATTTTGGAGGTTTGTTTTTAATCTATCATTTGTTTTGTTTCTCTGTATTCTACATATTAGTGAAATTATCCAGCTTTTGTCTTCTCTTTTTCACTTTTTGCTTAGCATAACCCCCTCCAATTCCATCCATGTTGTCCTAACTGGAAAGATTTAAAAAGACTCGTCTTTTTTTTTAAAATAATATAATAGTGTATTTTTACATCATTTTGTGCCTTTTTCCATCTCAGTTGTAATCCCTGTGTGCTTTCCATCACATATCACCCGTGTACCATCACCATAGTCCAGTGCACTCCCCACCCCGGCCCTTTTTGATGACATTCCCCACTCTACCCCTATAAAATGTCTCTAGTATATTGTTGTTCATTATTATTATTTTCTCCCCTGGACCTTTATACACCTGCTATGAGTGAAACCATCTGGTATTTTTCCTTTTCTTTCTGGCTTATTCACTAAGTATGATCCCTTCCAGCTCCATCCATGTTGCTGCAAAGGACATGTGTTTATCTTTTTGGTTGCTGAGTAATATTCCACTGTGTATAGTACCACATCTAAAAAGACTCATCTTTAATATATTTTTAAATGTTTCTTAGAAAGATCAGAGTATATATTTCTTACAACATTTTTGATGTTGCTGTACTTTAAACTTTCAGGGTTAGTTGCAATTTTCACACTTAAGTGAATTTTTGTTCATTCATATTGGGGAATACTTAAATAGTTTCAAATGTGTGCTCTAACATAGAATGAAGTGCCAAAGATTTTATCTGAGTTAGTTGCAGGTTTCAGTTCTTTTATTTTTTTTTTTTTTTATTTCAAGAAGGAGACAGATCAGAATAATGGGTCAGACTTGAGTTTCCTCTTCCTTTCTGTCTTCAATCCATAGACTTTCAGCTCAGGAAGAGAAATGGCCACAGATGCAGGATGCCACATGATCTCAGTTCCCAGTGCTAGCTGGGTGTCAGCTTTGCCACACAGTCACCCTGAACTCAGGATCTCAGTGCTTCCAAATGGGTGTTACCCCCTCGGGTCCTGGTCCTGTTCTCCTCACTCTTTCTCCTTTGCATATCACAGTCCTGCCCATCTAACTGGGATCCTTAGTCCCATTGTCAACCATGCCCCATAAATAGGTCACCAGCTCCCACCACTTCTTACTTTAGATTTTGTCTCACCATGGCTAGTGGTTTCTTTCAGCTCTTCATTGCTTTCACTAAGTCTTTTTTTAGGAAGAACAGAACACACAGTCATGTTGACCTTCTGTAGGGTCACCTTGCTCTTAGCAGTCCCAGGTGCTTCACCAGGGACCCAGGCACATCCTTCCTGTTAGCAACTTGATTGTCTTCATGCCTGTTGTGAGCGGCTGCCTCCTTCCTGGGATCCTACACATGCCCTCCACTGATTGGAAATAATACCAAGCATAGCCTTTCCTCTGCTTTCTCTCCTGGGTATTCTGCCAGGGCTCAACAGCACTTATTATGGAGAGTTTTGGCACCCCTGGCTATTTTGGACCCCCCCCCCCCCCCCCCAGCCAGCAGGACTCAGGTCTCAGGCTCCAAGCCAATGTCTGTCAGCAGAAAGAACTGGTAAACCTGAGGTCATGGCCAGACTTGGGCCTGGCGCCCAGGCCTGCCTAACTCACTCATTCAGCCCATGTTCCGCTTACCTGCTGTGCTGCTACAGATACCAGGGGCCCCAGTCCTCTTGCCCCTTGTTTATTATGTGGTTCACGAGTCCGTGTGTGGTGGCTTTGTGCAATTGCACAGATCACTGCATAGTTACTGGCAAGATGAGTCATGGAAGAATAGGCCAGGTGCTGGGCACTCGAACTGGAGGACGTCAGGCAGCGTCTCTGAGGAAGAGCCTGAGGAGTATGTGGGAAGAGTTATGTGGGAGTGAGGTTAAGGGCATGAAGCTCTGTGGCTTCCTCGTTCTTCAGCCTTTCACAAGCTTACCACACTCCTGACTGCAGATGCCAGTGGCCACAGCACAGCTGCAGGGTGCTTTTCAATGTGAGACAAATATAAGAAACAGTAGCAGGGACTTCATAACAACCAGGAGTCCATCTCTCAGCAAACGGCAGAGCACTCGGTCCCAGCGCAAAGTCCTGCATGTCCTGGGTACACGTGGGGGCAGTCAGAGGGATGGTAAAATGGGTGTCTACCACCTCCTGTTGGAAGATGTTGGCTGGTGCCTGCACCTCTCTGTAGTAAGTTCACTTCTGCATGCCCCACCCTCATTTCCTTGACAAAATGTGTATTTAACTTACCTCATGCCTCCAGCTTCTTACAGGCCTGTAACAGTAAGAAAACTAGAGCAGACTAGAGTATCATATGCAAACAAGGCTGGCTTTGTTCCATGGGAGAATACAATTTCCACACTTTCATGGCAAAACCAAGGACTGTACCACTTGTTAACAGCACTAGCTTGGGAAAACTTAATTGTCTTTTTAAAAAGAATTTTTTGCATAGAAGAACTGGGATGTCAGCCAGCGGTGTTGGGGAAGGGGTGAGAAGATTCACCAGAGACAGATTGAGAAGCAGAATAGGCAGATTGACTGAAATAGAGGGAAGCAGTGGGCGAGACAGGAGAGGTCTGCTGCACCCTGTGGGTCAGCTCCCTGGGTGGGGATTGAACTCTGGTCATACTTGTGATAACACCAAGTCTTAACCCCTAGGCCACCAAGGAAGCCCAAAACTTAATTGCTTTGATTTAGGACTTTAGAACTGATAATACTGGAAAAAGAAAGTGTGTCAGTGATTCTTGTGTGGATCCCCACCCCCTGCTCCATGTGTGGGACTCCTTCCTCCTCAGCGGTTTCCTGAGGTCTGTATGCTGGGGTGCTGAGCCCCTGCGGGTGTGAGCTGTA